CAAGAGATTTGTGAAACAGCTAGAGGATCAGGCAAGCATAACAGGAAAGGCACTGCAGTGGATCAGAGAATACCCGACAGGGAGGCAACAGCGAGTCATGGTACGTAATGAGGTGTCAGAGTGGGCACCTGTGACGAGCGGGATTCCACAGGGGTCAGTCCTAGGACCGGTGCTGTTTCTGGCATATGTGAACGATATGATGGAAGGGATACTCAGAAGTGTCCCTGTTTGCAGATGATGTGAAGTTAATGAGAAAAATTAAATCGGATGAAGATCAGGCAGAACTACAGAGAGACCTGGACAGGCTACAAGCCTGGTCCAATAATTGGCTCCTGGAATTTAACCCCACCAAATGCAAAGTTATGAAGATCGGGGAAGGGCAAAGAAAACTGCACACAGAGTACAGGCTAGGGGGTCAAAAACCCGCAAACCCTCACTCAAAGAAAAGGATCTTGGGGTGAGTATAATACCGAGCACATCTCCTGAGGCGCACATCAACCAGATAACTGCTGCAGCATAAGGGCGCCTGGCAAATCATAAGAATTAGCGTATCCGACACAACTTAGTAAGGAATCGTTCAAGACTGTACACCCTGTACGTCAGGCCAATATTGGAGTATGCAGCACCAGTTTGGAACTCACACCTGGTCAGGCACGTCAAGAAATTAAAAAAAGTGCAAACTTTTGAAGAAAGGTTAAGGAAAATCGACCTGACGACACTGAAGGACAGGAGAGATAAGAGGTATATGATAACGACATAAAATAACTGAGAGGAATTGACAAGGTGGACAACGACAGGATGTTCCAGGGAGGGGACACAACAACAAAGGGTCACAATTGGAAGCTGAAGACTCAGATGAGTCTAAGGGATGTTAGGAAGTATTTTTTCAGTCATAGTTGTCAGGATGTGGAATGGTCTGGAGAGTGTAGTGAAGGCAGGCTCCATACATAGTTTTAAAATAAGGTATGATAAAGCAATAGAGCAGGGAGAGAGAGGACCTAGTAGCGACCAGTGGAGAGGCGGGCAGAGCTATGAAATCGACTCTGCGACTGAATGTACGTGAGTATATATACACACCACACACACACACACATTAAGCCAAGTGTTAATTATTGACAACAGCCTTTGACATATGGTAATTAACCCATATATTTACTTCATCTCTTGCCTACTTTCTCAGTACTCGTGTTACACTCTGGGAGTGCAGAGCAGAGCTTTACGCGTTTTCTTGACATTCTGAACATGGACGAACACCTCCATCCATCTGCACTGTCAGGCAAATGCTGACTCCATTTCGGTAGTGGAACTTGTTGAAGCATTAAAGAAGAAAATAACACCGTGTAAATCTGCAGGCAGCTTTGTAAGAATTTTTTTTCAGAATCTGATTTGTTTAAACCCGCTCTCTCTCTCTCTCTCCCCCTTACCCCTTCCTCTCCTTACCCCCTACCACTCCCTTACCTCCTTCCTCTTCCCTTACCCGCCTTCCTCTCGCCATACTACCCCATCCTCTCCCTTAACCCCTTCCTCTCCCTTACCCCTTCCTCTCCCTGTTTTTTAGTAAATATATCACAAGTCGTACATCTTAACTGACGGAGCGCCAGTGTATGGTACATCAGGCGAGTAACTATCAGTATTATTATTATTATTATTATTATTATTATTATTATTATTATTACATAAAGAAACTGTTAGCGTGTGTGGTTACGAGAATGACTAATTGGAATCACTGTCAGATTTATATATAAATATTACTGCATTTTTTCACTGTCATTATTCACTGTACGAACTGCCGCTCGTACAGTGAATTATCATGGATAATTATTTTTTTTTGGTAATGAAATCTGCGTCACCTTAAATTATAACAATAAATTTATAACCCGAATTTAAAAATGTCGAAAATAAAATGGATAGTCGGAATGAACGTTTTTGGAAATTACATAGACAGGTTAATCAGCGTCCTCAAAACCTGCAACACCAACCTAACACCTTCTTCCCCTCTCTGTCAACAATTTGAAACCCAGAATGCTCGTTAACTATTTTTAAACACTAAATTAAGTGGTTATAATCGATAATTATTTTTATTAAAGTAAGAGCCAAGTTCGGTGGCGATCATATATATATATAAATATATATATATATATATATATATATAAATATAGATAGAATATATATATATTATATATATATAATATATAAATAAAATATTATATAATATAAATATATATATATATAATATATATAATCTATATATATAATATATCTTATATATATATAATATAAGTCGTGCCGAATATGTAAAACGTGTCAATAGCAAGAACTCATTTAACTTTAAAATTAAGTCCTTTCTATAATTTCCTCTCATACGTTTTTTAAAGATATATTTTTGTTCATTAATGTTAGTGTAAAAATTTATAATTTTGCATCAAAAGAAATTTAGAAAACTTACATAACCTTATTATAACAGAGAACAATTTATTATAGCCTACCCGAACTAAAATATATTTTAGATTTGTTTAACAGATAATTTAATACTAACAAACACAGTGAAATAATTTTATTCGTTAGGTTCAAGAATGATTTGGCAAATTATTGCATAGCGACAACATTGTTCACTTACTCTCTCTTATTGGGGGGCAAGATGAACGTTGCTATATAAACCAAGATCGCAAGTTCCTGCCTATTCGCACGACATATAATATATATATATTATATATATATATAGATAACATATATATATATATATATAATATATATTATATGATATATATGAATATAGAGATATAATATATAAAATATAAATAAATGTATATACACTGAAACTTTACCATCAATCCCTCTTTTTAAGGCTTTATATTTTGTCTTGAGATCAGGAGTGCCCGCCATTGGTGAAGTTCTACATGCTGCATGACCGCCCCATTGGTGAAGGTTGTACAGTTGCTGCAGTGCCGCCATTGGTGAAGGTACTACATCTGCAGGCCGCCATTGTGAAGGTTCTACAGTGCGTGTCTGTGCCGCCATTGGTGAAGGTTCTACAGTGCTGCAGTGCCGCCATTGGTGAAGGTTCTACAGTGCTGCAGTGCCGCCATTGGTGAAGGTTCTACAGTGCTGCAGTGCCGCCAGTGGTGAAGGTTCTACAGTGCTGCAGTGCCGCCAGTGGTGAAGGTTCTACAGTGCTGCAGTGCCGCCATTGGTGAAGGTTCTACAGTGCTGCAGTGCCGCCATTGGTGAAGGTTCTACAGTGCTGCAGTGCCGCCATTGGTGAAGGTTCTACAGTGCTGCAGTGCCGCCATTGGTGAAGGTTCTACAGTGCTGCAGTGCCGCCATTGGTGAAGTTCTACAGTCTGCAGTGCGCCATTGGTTACAGGTTCTACAGTGCTCATGCCGCCATTGGTGAAGGTTCTACATTGTCTGAGGCCGTTGACGCCATTGGTGAAGGTTCTACAGTGCTGCAGTGCCGCCATTGGTGAAGGTTCTACAGTGCTGCAGTGCCGCCAGTGGTGAAGGTTCTACAGTGCTGCAGTGCCGCCATTGGTGAAGGTTCTACAGTGCTGCAGTGCCGCCATTGGTGAAGGTTCTACAGTGCTGCAGTGCCGCCATTGGTGAAGTGAGAGCGAGACAGAGTGCTTGCATTCCGCCATTGGTGAAGTATCTTACAGTGCTGCAGTGCCGCCATTGGGTGAAGGGTCTTCTACAGTGCTGCAGTGCCGCCATTGGTGAAGGTCTACATGCAAGCATTGCCGCCATTGGTGAAGGTTCTACATGCTGCATGCCGCCATTGGTGAAGGTTCTACAGTGCTGCAGTGCCCCAGTGGTGAAGTTCTACAGTTGCACAGTGCCGCCAAGTGGGGAAGGTTCTACAGTGCGGCAGTGCCGCCATTGGGAAGGTTATACAGTTCTGCAGTGCCGCCATTGGTGAAGGTTCTAACAGTGCTGCAGTGCCGCCATTGGTGAAGGATCTACAGTGCGCAGTGCCGCCATTTGTTGAAGGATCTACAGTGCTGCAGTGCCGCCGTGGAGAAGGTTCTACAGTGCGCATGCCGCCATTGGTGATGGTTTACAGTGCTGCAGTGCCGCCCAGTGGTGAAGGTTCTACAGTGCTGCAGTGCCGCCAGTGGTGAAGGTTCAACATGCTGCAGTGCCTGCATTGGTGAAGGTTCTACAGTGCTGTCAGTGCCGCCATTGGTGAAGGTTTCTACAGCTGCAGTGCCCGCATTGGTGAAGGTTTCTACAAGCTGCAGTGCCGCCATTGGTGAAGGTTCTACATAGCTGCAGTGGCCGCCAGTGGAAGGTTCTAAAGAGCCGCCAGTGTTGAAGTTGCTACAGTGCGCTGCAGTGCCGCCAGTGGTGAAGTTCTACAGGGCTGCAGTGCCGCCATTGTGAATGTACTAACATTGCTGCAGTCCGCCATTGGTGAAGGTGTCTACATATGCTGCAGTGCCGCCATTGGTAAAGGTTCTACAGTCTTGCAGTGCCGCCATTCGGCGTAAGGTTCTACAGTGCTGCAGTGCCGCCTATTGGTGAAGGTTCCTACAGCTGCAGTGCGCCATAGGTGAAGGTTCCCTTCAGTGCTGCAGGTGTCCCGCCATTGGTGAATCTACAGTGCTGCATGCGCCAGTTGAAGTTCTTACAGTGCTCTGCACAGTGCCGCCAGTGTGACGGTTCTACATGCTGGCAGTGCCGCCAGTGGGATGGTTCTACAGTGCAGCAGTGCCGCCATTGGAGAAAGGTTCTACAGTGCTGCAGTGCCGCCAGTGTGGAAGGTTCTACAGTGCTGCAGTGCCCGCCATTGTGAAGGTTCTACAGTGTCTGCAGTGCCGCACCATTGGTGAAGGTTCTACAGTGCTGCAGTGCCGCCATTGGTGAAGGTTCTACAGTGCTGCAGTGCCGCCATTGGTGAAGGTTCTACAGTGCTGCAGTGCCGCCATTGGTGAAGGTTCTACAGTGCTGCAGTGCCGCCATTGGTGAAGGTTTTCTACAGTGCTGCAGTGCCGCCAGTGGTGAAGGTTCTATAGTGCTGCAGTGCCGCCAGTGGTGAAGGTTCTACAGTGCTGCAGTGCTGCCAGTGGTGAAGGTTCTACAGTGCTGCAGTGCCGCCAGTGCTAAAGGTTCTACAGTGCTACAGTGTAACCCGTGCTACATTACAACCAATGCCTCAGTGCAACTGTTACTTCACTGCTGCAGTGAAACTCTCAGTGATCAATATTAACGTTTTTGAAAACTAATAATGGTCAAGTGATGAAATATTGTAATAAAGTAATAATGTGAAGTTTATTACTAGTAAACTGAAGAAACACCAAGATAAGTTGACCTTGTAGTCATCATCATCATCATCATCATCATCATCATCATCATCATTGTTTATAACTATACAACTATGACACATTTAGCAATGATAATAAAAAGAAGACGGATGAAAGGTAAGCTTTATACCATTAAATATAATTATATATATATATATATGATATATATATTTATTATATATATAATATATATATAATATATCTATAATATTATAATTATATATACTCTAATATTTATATATATATACTAATTGATATATATATATATTAAGAAATATATATATTTTTTTATTATAGTATATATATTTATATATAATTATATATACTAATTATTATATGATATAACTGATATATATTATATATAATACTATATATTTATATATTTATACTATATATATTATATATATATACTAACATATATATATATAATATATATAATTATATATACTATATATATTATATATATAAACTAATATATATATATATAATATATAATTATATATACTATATA